TTTTTTTTTTTTTTTTTTTTTTTTTTTTTTTGGGAATGAGTGAATATTTTGACCCTAAAATGATATATCAGTTAAAATAAGAAGAGAAAAAAAAAATATATATATATATATATATAAACAAAACAAAATGACCAAACTGGATGTTATTATTATTATTACTATTTTTTTTTATTTTTTAGTTAATAATATGAAAATGAGAATATTCAAATTTATTATAACATCATTATATTAATACACTGAATCTCGTAATTTTAAAATGCAATAGCTCCCCATACCTTATTATAAACCAGGAAAGATTTACACTCCTAATAATTTACCTTCAAAATATCTTAATAATTTATGTAATCAATATAAAATACAGCAAAGCCTCTCTCTCTCTCTCTCTCTCTCTCTCTCTCCCCCACTTGAAACAGGCTCGAGAGACTCCCCATTTCCTGTCTCTCTCTAAAACCCCTCTTATATTCTGTCCTGCCGACGCTCAACTCCTGTTGGGATTTTATTGTCTCCGCAATGTCCACTGTCCACCCATCTCCATATGCCTTCACTGAAACTTCCATTCTGGCCTCCGATTCCGCTCACGCCACTTTACGGCCATGGCGGGAGCTTCTCCAGCCGCTCTCCTCCTTCACTCGCCCTTCATCCCTTGGCGAAGCATCAATTCGTTGTAAGCGCAATCTCAAGTACTTTCGTGCCAATTACACTCTCGTCGTCCTGCTCATTCTCTTTTTCAGCCTCCTCTGGCACCCTGTTTCCTTGATCGTGTTCTTGATCGTGTTCGTTGCCTGGTTCTTCCTTTACTTTTTCCGGGATCAGCCGCTGGAGTTGTTTCATCTTGTCGTTGATGATCGAGTTGTGTTGGCTGTGCTTGGAGTGGTCACGATTGTCGTCTTGCTGTTGACGGATGTGCTGTTGAATGTATTGCTTTCGATTTTGATTGGGGTTTTTCTTGTGCTGATACACGCCGCCTTTAGAGTTACGGAGGATTTGTACATCGACGAGCAAGAAGTCGCCGATGGAGGACTGCTTTCCGTTGTCGGCAGTCCGACTCGGACAGGGTATAGCCGAGTCTAGAGATATCACTGGTTCATTTTTTGCTAGGTTATGGATGATGATCTCGCCTCGTCTGATCCAAGTTCTTCGAGATTTTCCATTGACCGCTTCTTTCATTCAAACGGTGATTGATCTTGCTGCCCAATTCAAAATTCGAATGAGCATAATAAGGAACCCAGCTTCTCTCTCTCGCCGTCACCAGGAAATCCGGTTTGCTACACCTCTGAGTTGATTTGGCGACCATTTTTTATGCCCATTAAATTTCAGGGCCTTGCTTTTTAGTTATTTCTTATTTGTTCAAAATGTTCGTACATGTAGTGTTAGTTTACAGTAGCGTTGCACGGAGTTTTGCTATGTTAAATCCTAGATTTTTATCCCGACACTACTTTTATTTGGGTGTGATTTGGTTGCAATGTTGGGTTTGGTGTGTTCTTTATTTTTGGAAGGAAGAAAGAAATGGCAAATAGTGGATCTTAATTTGGTTTTCAATGTCTTGTTAATACATACTATTTCTGACATTTTTTGTTGGTTTTTTGGCGTTCCTTCTCTTCGTTGTACTGGAAGGTTTTTGGGTATACTTGTAGATTCATATAAAATAAAGTGGCATATAATGTTGACTATAAATTTAATCCATCATTTACTCTGAATTGTATGAATTCAAGTTGATTGTGAAGAATAGATACTAGATAGCATTAGATGAGCCTTTCCAAAGTTTCAGAGAGAACATTCGCTGAGATTTAATCCGTGACAGGATGTGATGTCAATAATGATTCTTATGTTTGTTAGGTTTTGAAATGCTTTGGTTCGACATTTCTTGATTGGATGTTCATCTTTGTCGAATTGTAGATCGATAGAGTTGTGATGTGGATCAGTAGGGCAAGTATGGGATGGCTCAGCTTAATAGCTGGATCATCTACCATTAACCTTTTTTTTTTTTTTTTTTTTCTTTTTCCTTTTTTTT